TAGATACATAACAAAATGAATGAATAAAAAAGTCAAAACGACATTTATAATGAACAGAAGGTAGTATTATTTATTGAATAAAAATAGATATACTTATATTAGATTGAATTGTTTTTCTACAAATAGAATGTTAGAGTATTACTCGTGGGTTGTCCCACATTGTTTATACATGGAAAATAGACATACCTTATAAGTTTAGTGAACTATTTCTCTCATTAATCAATTGGTTTTGGGTGAAACTCCACTTGGGCTTCATCTAAACTCACCATACCAAGGTGCGCTTCACGTGCGTGAGACCGCACCTGTGATCCCCCACTCCCGTGTACCCGTCACCCAGCCCAGTTGGGTATGAGCTTCGTATGAAGGACTCACAAGTATATCACTTGTGAGATGTGCGGACCGCACTCGTTTCCCGCTTCACGTGTGGGACTGCACTCATTTTCCCCAAGTTTCTTACCACGATTGTCTTTGACCAATCTTAAATTATTATTTGACTCTCGCACGTGCGAATCATGTTATTTCCCTTTTGCCAATCTTAAAGCGCACGTAAGTTCGTAATGTACATAGTCGCAAATTTTCTTATTCATGAAATTAATCATGTTTAAAACTGTAAAAGTGCTTTTATTTTAGAAAAAAAAATAAAAATGAATTACTTAATTATATTATGCGAAGTAGGAAAATACAGTGTAAAAACTTGACACGAAGCTAGAAATCACCAAAATAGTTTCAAAACCTAACATTCTATATAAGTAACATAATGTTGAAATCCCAACAACCAGTATTAATTATAAGGATGGACCATCAGTGTTAATCCTAGTACCATAATTACCCTTTATATGTAGTGGATTTTTGGGTACAACAAAGTGGAGATATCAGTTTTGTTGTGGAGCCATTGAATGACTCGACTTATGGAGTCATCCACACTTTATATTGACACGTATCTTACAATAAATACACTTTGGACAGGTGTTATACATTAAGTGTTGGATGGCTCCATAAGAAAACCATCTGATAGTTCCATAGAATTTTTCGTGGAAATATATATAGAAAAATGCTAGAAAATATGCTAATTTATTGTGAGGAACTGCTTAGGCAGGTCGATTTGTTATATTTGTTTCTAACAAAGATCGTATTTATATATTTACTAAATATCCTAATTTTATTTATATTTTTTTTTTATGAAGTTTAAGCATGAGATCTATTGAAAATATGTATTGATTAATCGTCTAGTATGTCTAACAATATTATTCGTAAGTATATAATATTATTATGGTGTATTCACATAGATAATTGTTGGGAATATCACTTGTGAGTTGTCCCACATTGATTTGATAGGGTAAATGAGCCTTGTTTATAGGTCTAGTGGGCTACTCCTCCCATCACCAATTGGTTTTGGGATGGAACCTCACTTGGGCTTCATTTGGGCTAACCCTCTTATTGTGCGCTTCACTTGTGTGGGATCGCACTCGTTTTGCCCTGGTTTGACATGGTATCAGAGCGGGCCTAATTTGGGACCTGCTATGAAAAAAAAAAAGAAAAAGAAAACTACCCGGCCTGGTTGTAGGTGTGGGCTGAAAATTGTACTCGGCCTGGTTGTAGGCGTGGGCTGAAAAATGTACCCAGCCTAGTTGGAGGTGTGGGCTATGAAGGGCTCACAAGTGAGGGGGCGTGTTGGGAATATCATTTGTGAGTTGTCCCACATTGATTTGATAGGGTAAATGAGCCTAGTTTATAAGTCTAGTGGGCTACTCCTCCCATCACCAATTAGTTTTGGGATGGAACCTCACTTGGACTTCATTTGGGCTAACCCTCTTATTGTGCGCTTCACTTGTGTGGGACCGCCTCATTTTGCCCTGGTTTGACAATAACATAATTATTTTTCACTATTGAAAAAAATACCTAATATTATATTTCATTCTAGATTTGGACTGGTATTGTATTAATTCAGAGATAATAAGAAATGAAGCATGAGCTCGTTAAATCTCGAGTCTGAGTTCATTTAATCAACGAATCGTATCTAGTTCGGCCCGTAAGATATTCTTATGTAATTTTATATAGCTCAGCTCGTTAAATTTTGAGTATAGATTGTTAATACAAATAAACATGCTAAGCTTGAGCTTATTTATCGACTCGTTTATGATTTAGGCTCGATAAAAACTCGAGCTCGAGTATTAGGAACTCGAATTTGTGTAAATATTTGGACGTATGTTTGCATATTTTTTAATGTAAAAAATAACAAAATATTAGATCACTACTTAAGGGACTTATAAGTAAATAAAAAAATGGGGGAGATTATGTAGTACATTTAGTCAACCTAACACGTATTAAGAGATTAATTAAGAGCCGTAAACACACCCATTTTTTTTATTTTTATTTTTTTCATTATTTCACCCATACTTATCGTTAATGCAATCACATCCCCTTTTTACTTCTTTGTGGCCTCCTATGCTGATATGTGGTCCCCACCGCTCCACCACGTGTCGCCTCCTCATTCGCTATACATTCACGCGCGTGTCGGTTCATTAATCGCCTAATTTTTTAGGTTCACTCATCCTAATTGCGTCATTAACCTGCTTTGATTCCCTAATTATCGCGCCCACGGTAAAACCTCTGCACCCCTATTTTGCGATGATCTTGGCCGTTGAAGTGGGTATATAGCTATATATCGAACTACATTTCTAACCCTAGATCATAATTTTTGTACATTGAATTGTACGTGTGTATGAATGTGAACGATAATATTTTTTTTTTTTTTTTTTGATGAAAATGTATTAAAGTATTGTAATTTTTTTATATTTTTTTTAAACTGTCGTTTTAATTAAAATTGTAAGTTAATTTTGAGTTTATAGTTAATAATTGAATTGTTATTTAATATAATAAGAATTTGTGATATATTTAGTTCATAATTCATGTGAACTTATGTAGATGCTACATTAAAAAAAATATCTGAGATATAATTAGCTATTAGGTCAAACTTATGTCAGTTGATAATTGATAAGTTAATTATAAGATTATAAAAATAATTTTTTTTTTTAATGACAGAAAATCTAGGTATAGTAAGAGTGTGATGTATGTAGTTGATAAGTCACTTGCAACAAAATTTTCACTAAATTTCTTGAAAAATATTATTAAAAAAGTACCTAATATTAATTACTTATAATTAGCCACCGACTATTTACTAGCGTTTAATGTTTACAAATCCTTCATTATATATTAATTCAAAATGCATTGAGTCTAAGTCGCAGACTTGCACGCGTCAGACGTTGACATAGCGAAAATCTATGCTTCGTACAATGTTTATATATTCAATTTTGTTTTGGAATTAGACATCGTATTGACATAAATAACTTTTTTTTTTCAAACTTGGTAACCGTACATTTAATTTTGATATTTTTCTTGTCTTAGTTTGGACAATTAGTAATTTTATCATCTTACTATAATTTTTTCTCATATTTCTTTTCTGAATCACCGTTTACACACCACTTTCTGCACTATCTATTACTCTTTCTTTTTCTTTTTTATCAGTCAGTCCATCAAAATTTTAAAATAATTTTTTTATTTTTGAAATAACTTTTATCATATATTTCTTACCTCAATACTCGTGTACTACACAGTATTATATACGTATAATTTAATACAAAATGTATTTTTAATATTATATATATATAAAAAATATCACAAAATATGACAACAAAAATAGAAGTAGTCAAAATACAAAATGA